AGCTCAGCCAGTCAGTCCATCAGATCCTGGGGCAATCCTTGCTGGTTTACTGTAAGTTTATTACTTAATGAGGGCCATTTGTGACAATGTTTATAAAATGAGCCCATTTCCTATCTATACATCCTCGAAGCATAGAGCTTTCTTTCCCGTCCTTGAGGGGTCTTATTCTTAATCTGGTAAGGCTGAATGGCTCACTTTTATGCCTTGCTTCACTGATGGGACGAGGGTGGCCGACCCTAAAATCAATTTCTTAAAGAAGTAGCAATGGTCAAATTGTACGTAAACCGGCTTAGCATTAGAGTTGGATTTTGGAGGTTGTTGAAGTTTTGATTATTCTTTTGCACAATTACATTGTGCCTTTCTCTTTGGTTTTTTGGGTGAGGGTCTATTATTTTTCCTTTGTTAGTTGATTATTCTTGTTTCCATGAGTCAAGATTACACCATTGGTTTTTGTAGTAGAATGACACCCAAGACACTGGTTGTAACTATTGTCATTTGTTTGTCAATCGAGATGCATTTCTAATGGAATTTCTTTTCATTTGTGCTCACCTTCTTTCATATTGTTCAGTGTCAAATCTATTTTACCAGTCATGCCACTTATGCTCAAAATCCTCCTGCCTAACTTTGAGATTATAACAAACCGTAGTTTTGCGGGGCGGTAAAAAATATATTGACGGAATTATGTGAAAACTAAAAAGGACAAACTGTGATGGGGACTGAAAAGTCCAATGTTGAAGGTTGAGGATATATTTTCTATAGATGTTAAAGGTTAAGACTAATTGTGCACTTACTCGTACAATAATATTCAAATTTTGGAATTTAATGTAGTTTTCCTATGTAAACCGAAAAATTCTGGAAAATTTTAAAACGTTGCCTGTGCAGTTGAACCCTTGGCCTCTGCCCTTCATAAGAACCAATGTCAATTTTAAGCTCTTCTTTGTAGGGTTGGACAAAACTTCTAAATCGAGTTGGATCGTATCGTACCGAATCTGAACTGAATCGAATCGAGCGGTTTTTCTTAAGTTAAGTATTTGAACGAGTGTCTGAATCAATAATCGAAGAGTTCGATTCGGTTATAGGCTCTAGATTAAGTATTGAATAAGAATCAAATCTCCCTATATTTTTTTAATTCATTTATTTTAAAAAAGTCAAATTATTTTTTTCTAAATAAATTTGTTAACTAATTAATTTAGCTCAAATTCAAAAATATGAATTTTCTATTCTTAGTTTTCAGTTTAGATTCAATTTAATCAAATTGACATAAACTTTACCTGAATTTGTTATTTTACGTTATTTGTAAAAGTTAAAATTGAACATGTCATTAGTTGAATTAATGTAATTTTGTATATATTATAAAAAAATTAATTATAGTATGGAACGCGGGAACCGAATGGAATTGAACCCGAACGGTTTCATAATTAAATTTAGACCCTACGATTCTACTTACTAAATATTCGAAAACTTTGGATCTGATTTGGTTCTCTTTAGAACTGAATCAAACCAAATCATTTCTAGCCCTACTTCTTTGGGCTTAATTTTAATAATGTTCTTGAGAAAATGTATTTTGAAATAGTGATTGTTTTTAAGAATGTGTGGTTAAAAAAAAGGAAAGTTTTAAGTTGATGTGTAATAATATTTTATTGAAAAATGTGTGATTAAAAAGAGGAGAGGAAAATGCATTTTTAATAAAATAAAGTCCAAACAAGGCATAAATCATTTTAATAATTTTAATTTTAGTCACGCATTTCATGGAACATAAAATCTCTCAACCATATATTTTGTCAATTTGTATTCAAATTTACTAGAAATTTGATGTTTATCTTAATCAAACAGGGGCTAAAGTATGATGATCAATATGAAACATTTGTGTTCAATGATCGATTTATAACGTGCACAAGTTCAAAATCTTATTAGGTTTATAACACTGATTTTAATTTTTATTTCTATTTTGTCCACAATTTAACATCTAAAAAGTTGTGTGATTTTTGAACTATCACGTCGTAGAATCTTTTGGGTTGGTGAATTGTGTGCACGGAAGAGCTTAATATGTCACGTCAATATATCTATCTATATAACAAAAAGTTCAATGTTAAATGGATTTGAAAGTTTGATGATGAAATTGGGGCAAATTAGAGTTCAGTTTATGAAGAAGCACTTAAGAATATTTTGAGGATAAAATTTTCAAGTAGCATTTATCGAAATTACTACCTTAGTATCGCTTCTTGATGAAGTGTCTATCTCTATATTATCTCATCTTGAAATTTGTCTCGTAAATATTGATTCCACTCAAATAATCACACATTAGGTGGCAACAAAATTATAAACTTGTCTCGAATAGTAAGAGTATTTCACTATTTTTATAAACTCTTTAACTTTATAGAAATTAGTGGCATAAAATAATTAGACTGTGATATGTAATTAGAATAAATAACTAAAAATCTAAAATAAACATGAAAATAAAATTTCAATGGTGGCTGTGGGGTTCGAACCCACGCGCACTTATGTGCAGAAGATCTTAAGTCTTCCCCCTTAACCACTCGGGCAAACCACCATATCTATCACTGCAGAGCCTTATAATATATTATTACAGAAGTAAAGTTAGTGTTAAGGAATGTTTGGTGGGGCTGAAAAATGTAAAATTGCTATTTGTATATGGATAATATCGGTTGGTTTTAAAAATTAGATTTTCAGTTGATTTTAATAAAAATTAATAAATGTAAATTTTGTTTTGAGAATTAATTTTTTGATCGTTACGAGAAAATTGGGGTCCACATGTGAGAGAAGAAGTCAAATATGACGGCTGAAATAGTTAAATAATGGTAAAAAAATCAATTTTTTTAGAGCAAAAATCGCTCTCAAACAAGCTCAAAATATATGGTTAAAAATTTATGAATTATATTTAAATTAATTTTTAGTTTTGATTTAAGCTGTATTTTGTTTATGAATTAAAGAAAAAGGAAGAAGAAATTAAAAACTTATTTTTTGGCTTAACCCAACCCAGGTAGGCAGCCGACGTCGGTCACAAGTCAAATGGTGTAAAAAGCAAACCCTCTCCTCTTTCCCCAATTTCCCAAATCACACAATTCAACTCCAAAAATCGGTTTTTATCGTCATCGTCATCAATGGCGGAGCATTTGGCATCGATATTTGGGACGGAGAAGGATCGAGTGAACTGCCCCTTCTACTTCAAGATCGGCGCATGTCGACACGGGGATCGGTGTTCCAGGCTCCACACCAAGCCCAGCATAAGTCCAACAATATTGTTGTCTAACATGTACCAGCGTCCTGACATGATCACTCCTGGTGTTGATGCTCAGGGTCAGCCCATCGATCCAAAAGCTATACAGGAACATTTTGAGGTAAAGCCAGTTTTGGGAGGAAGAATAGTTTTAGATATTGCTATTGTTGTTTTAATTGATGTTGTCAATATGTTGCCGAAACGATTTACTGTAAGTAAGCTACGTAGAGGGTTTTTAGTTGATTGTAGTGATTTTGACGAAGTTTAACTTAATATGGGTACGTTATTTTTTAGTCGAATATGAGGTTGAACTGGGTTTGTGTATTTTTTGACGAAGGGTTTGTTAACGGTTTTGAACTCTAGTTTTGTTGTAGAATTATTTTCTTTGGTTGACGAAAGTTGCTTTTCGGATCTGGTTGTCACATTAGAATTTTTTTTAATTATTTTGGGATGACTAATGTGAGAAATCTAAATCTTCATTTGGTTTTTATTGAAGATTACTGGGTCACTGTATCCTTTCTTCATTTTCTATGACCTTTCTCTTTTGCTTCTGGCAAATTTAAGTTTCACACTGGTCTTTGACTTTATTTCATGATGATGATGATTTATACTATGAGATTATATGGGTGTTGTATCTGCTCATGATATCTTTCTGTGGATTGTGCTTTGTGGGATTTATTAGCATGGTAAATCTTATTAGGTTTATAACACTGATTTTAATTTTTATTTCTATTTTGTCCACAATTTAACATCTAAAAAGTTGTGTGATTTTTGAACTATCACGTCGTAGAATCTTTTGGGTTGGTGAATTGTGTGCACGGAAGAGCTTAATATGTCACGTCAATATATCTATCTATATAACAAAAAGTTCAATGTTAAATGGATTTGAAAGTTTGATGATGAAATTGGGGCAAATTAGAGTTCAGTTTATGAAGAAGCACTTAAGAATATTTTGAGGATAAAATTTTCAAGTAGCATTTATCGAAATTACTACCTTAGTATCGCTTCTTGATGAAGTGTCTATCTCTATATTATCTCATCTTGAAATTTGTCTCGTAAATATTGATTCCACTCAAATAATCACACATTAGGTGGCAACAAAATTATAAACTTGTCTCGAATAGTAAGAGTATTTCACTATTTTTATAAACTCTTTAACTTTATAGAAATTAGTGGCATAAAATAATTAGACTGTGATATGTAATTAGAATAAATAACTAAAAATCTAAAATAAACATGAAAATAAAATTTCAATGGTGGCTGTGGGGTTCGAACCCACGCGCACTTATGTGCAGAAGATCTTAAGTCTTCCCCCTTAACCACTCGGGCAAACCACCATATCTATCACTGCAGAGCCTTATAATATATTATTACAGAAGTAAAGTTAGTGTTAAGGAATGTTTGGTGGGGCTGAAAAATGTAAAATTGCTATTTGTATATGGATAATATCGGTTGGTTTTAAAAATTAGATTTTCAGTTGATTTTAATAAAAATTAATAAATGTAAATTTTGTTTTGAGAATTAATTTTTTGATCGTTACGAGAAAATTGGGGTCCACATGTAAGAGAAAAAGTCAAATATGACGGCTGAAATAGTTAAATAATGGTAAAAAAAATTAATTTTTTGAGAGCAAAAATCGCTCTCAAACAAGCCCAAAATATATGGTTAAAAATTTATGAATTATATTTAAATTAATTTTTAGTTTTGATTTAAGCTGTATTTTGTTTATGAATTAAAGAAAAAGGAAGAAGAAATTAAAAACTTATTTTTTGGCTTAACCCAACCCAGGTAGGCAGCCGACGTCGGTCACAAGTCAAATGGTGTAAAAAGCAAACCCTCTCCTCTTTCCCCAATTTCCCAAATCACACAATTCAACTCCAAAAATCGGTTTTTATCGTCATCGTCATCAATGGCGGAGCATTTGGCATCGATATTTGGGACGGAGAAGGATCGAGTGAACTGCCCCTTCTACTTCAAGATCGGCGCATGTCGACACGGGGATCGGTGTTCCAGGCTCCACACCAAGCCCAGCATAAGTCCAACAATATTGTTGTCTAACATGTACCAGCGTCCTGACATGATCACTCCTGGTGTTGATGCTCAGGGTCAGCCCATCGATCCAAAAGCTATACAGGAACATTTTGAGGTAAAGCCAGTTTTGGGAGGAAGAATAGTTTTAGATATTGCTATTGTTGTTTTAATTGATGTTGTCAATATGTTGCCGAAACGATTTACTGTAAGTAAGCTACGTAGAGGGTTTTTAGTTGATTGTAGTGATTTTGACGAAGTTTAACTTAATATGGGTACGTTATTTTTTAGTCGAATATGAGGTTGAACTGGGTTTGTGTATTTTTTGACGAAGGGTTTGTTAACGGTTTTGAACTCTAGTTTTGTTGTAGAATTATTTTCTTTGGTTGACGAAAGTTGCTTTTCGGATCTGGTTGTCACATTAGAATTTTTTTTAATTATTTTGGGATGACTAATGTGAGAAATCTAAATCTTCATTTGGTTTTTATTGAAGATTACTGGGTCACTGTATCCTTTCTTCATTTTCTATGACCTTTCTCTTTTGCTTCTGGCAAATTTAAGTTTCACACTGGTCTTTGACTTTATTTCATGATGATGATGATTTATACTATGAGATTATATGGGTGTTGTATCTGCTCATGATATCTTTCTGTGGATTGTGCTTTGTGGGATTTATTAGCATGGTTGTTTACTTTTGTTGATGTTGTAGGATTTTTATGAAGACTTGTTTGAGGAGCTCAACAAGTATGGAGAGATTGAAAGCTTGAACATCTGCGACAATTTGGCTGACCACATGGCAAGTTCCCTTGACTCGCTCATGTGGTATTCTATTGGCATTTTCATCCATCTTACTTCTTTGATCATATTAATAATCATACCCTGTATTTTGACAGGTTGGTAATGTTTATGTTCAGTTCAGAGAGGAAGAGCATGCTGCAAATGCAGTGAAAAATCTGACTGGAAGATTTTATGCTGGTGCTTGATTACATCTTGCTGTTCATCATTATTTTCTTAGTAGTTGGTCAACACTTGATTTGTTTTCTGTGTTATAGAACTTTAATTTGGATAATTCCTTAGTATTATGTGCTTATACTATTTGTACCCTACCAAAATTATGTTCAGTACATACATAACTCCACCTTCGTATTTAAGTTTATTTTTTATCTCCATTTACCCAAAAATGGGAGAGGGGGTGAATTTTACAACTTTGTCATTACCTAATTTTATATCACGCAGCCCATTGTTTGACATGTTCAAATTCAATCGGTAAGTATATCAGCACCTTGCGGTTCTATATTCAAATTTAAATATGCTAGTACTTTTTCTAAACCTGACCATTTGAGTTTCCATCCCTCTATTTTGGTAAATTTAGTTTCCTGTCCTTTCTCTATGGTTTCGGTTCATACACTTTCACCATGTCCCAACATCTGTTTGCATTCCTTTTAGGAGAAATATATGGATGAATGCGGTAGTGAAATATTCACATAGTTTTTTCCTGAAATAATGTGTATTTTTTTCTTTTTTGTATGAATTCTTGTACAGTGGTTTATTGATGAATATTACAATGAGTCTGTTAGATTTTATTTCACTGTAATAAGTTATTTTCATGTAATGTTCAAAAAGAAAAAGAAGAAGAGATAACCTGATGCATCTGCTGATGTCAAATATCATCTCTGCAGGACGGCCCATTATAGTTGATTTTTCTCCTGTGACTGATTTTCGTGAAGCTACCTGTAGGCAGTATGACGAGAATACCTGCAATCGTGGTGGGTACTGCAACTTTATGCATCTGAAAAGAATTAGCAGGTAAAAGCCTGACCTTTCTTGTGGTGGAAAAGTAAGAAAAGTGGCTTTGTTAAGTTTTGATTGTTAGCTAATGTCTCTTATATGTGACAATAATCAGGGAGTTGAGACGCCACTTGTTTGGGAGATACAAGAGAAGGCGTAGCAGAAGCAGAAGCCCCTACAGACACCGTAGCTATGAAGAGAGTTCTCATGGCCATCGCAGTCACAGTAGGAGGTATGATGATCATGATTACCATGAAAGTCGCAGCAGGAGGCGCAGAAGTACAAGTCCTAGTCGTAAGAGGGGTAGAAGCAGGAGCCCAGGTGGAAGGAGGGATCGCAGTCCTGTTAGGGAAGGTAGTGAAGAGAGACGAGCTAAAATTGAGCAATGGAACAGGGAAAAGGAAGAGGCAGAACGTTCTGACAAGGTCAATGCTGGTGGGGCTGATGATAGAAATGAAAATGATGACAATGGTGACGTGCAAAATGGAGATCAGTACTATGCCCAGGAGCCACCACAGCAAAGTTGATATGGGGTACCGATGATTTGAGCACTGGTTCGTTATTCTTATCTTTTGAGTACCATTATGCATTCCTCCTAATCCTATGTTTGGCCTCCATTTTTTCAAAAAATTATTTTATTTTCAATCACACATTATCCCATAAATAATTTTACACGTAAATTGAAAAAAATTTCCTTATTTTTTAACCACACATTCTTAAAAAAAAATCACTTTTCAAAAATACATCACCCCTAAAATGGGGCTCAAACAAGGGCTAAGTAAAATTTTTCTTTTTCCTGAGAGCCCACCTGTCCTTTTAGTATAGCTCACTGCGCATTTTCCACTGTGCAGGTGGTGTGCAGGTTTACAATACTGTCTTAAGGAATGTGAAAAAATATGTCAACACTTACATGCTTTTCTGATCCTTTTCAACATGCTTGATTTGTGTGCTTGACTGCATGGAAAGGTTATAGTAGACAACACTACATTAGAGTTCTCTGAGCTACTATACACCCTTCCAAATTATGTTGTTATGGTAGTCATCGTATTTTTGTGGCTGATCTGCTCCGTCTCTCTATGTGAACCCCTTCATCTTTGCTGCCATAACTATTATGTTTAATACGCACACCAGCTATTCATTTCGTTTTAAATACGAAACCTATTTAGGCACCTGTGGTTTTTCATTACCTGTATTTATTGATAAAGAAACTAGTTTTCTGCCCTCTATGCAAAAATCACAAAATTCTTTTCCATTCAATTCAACTGGCGTTCATTATAAGCTTGCAAAACAAAATCTCCATAATCACCAATTTTTTCTGTTTCCTTTTATCAATACCTACTTTTTATGTGGTGTAACTAATGTGAATTTTTCACTGAAATTGAGAAGATATGAAACAATATGATGAGTTCATATCTGTTAAATAAGATCTCATAATTTATTAAGATTTTTATCTGACTGGGAGAAGAGTCATTACTCTTGGATGCTTTTTCTTGAAAGAAAGTGTGGTGTTCATATGGTTTTTATAGAAATCTTGCTATTAGAAACAAATGATCTAGGACATCTTTTTCTGCATCATTACTCTGTTAATCACTTAGGATGGCTTGTTATTGATATAGTAACTTCTTTCTGAATGCTGTCGATGCCTTTTATCTCAATTATTAACAATTGCAAATGTCACTCTGTACTACTTGTTCAGTTGCCTTGGAATTATGTAACTGGTGTTGAACTTCACCTCTTGCAATCAAGGTTTTTATTTTTAATCTGAACTGGACCATCGGCAATTCATGTCACAACCAACTTGCATTTGAAGTTTAAATAATTACACGTCTCCTTTTTTATCTGTCATTGCTTGTTTGCTTGTATATGCAATCAGGCCTAACAATCAGGATAGTGAGTTTTCACTGATCTGCAAATTTTCTTTCTTGAAGAGACAGTTCTCACTGTATATTGAGTTTTGCAGGTCCAGGTTTCCTGCTTATAAGGATCGAGAACTCATTTAAATCATGTGTACAGGTGTTTTGGTGCAAGCCAGACAGTTTGGTTTAACAGGAATTTGTAGGGCAGAGCTGGAAAGGTGAACTCCTCCATTGGTGCTGGAAGTTGTCGGATCCCAATATCTCAACTCTTTGTTTTCCTTGCAGAAATGCAGGTTAGAAGCAGCAATGTAGTTCGTTTGCTTTTGTTGGACAGTTTCATGTTATGGTAGTATATCTGATTATTTTCGGTATCTTGGTTGAATCAATTCGTATGAACGGTTTAGAAGGTCTGCATTACGGTCCCAGTTTTATTTATAATAGTATTTCCTAGAAAACTGAATATTCGTATGACCCATCTTCATAGATACCCTCTTTCAAAATTCATAAGCTGATTATGGATGTGTGTCGAAAATCAAGTACTAGTTTAATGTTGAATTGAGCAAGGGCAACCTTATGAGATTTTTGCCTTCTATGCAATTTGAGTGGCCTTCTCTATATTCTGTGGTCTATGGAGTTACAATGTTGACAGATATCATGAAACAGCTAGACAGAGAAACTAGAGACGTTAATCGTAACATAAGCCCTTCTACGTAGACTCAAAGGAGGAAGAGTTTTTCACGTGAGAGCGAAAGTGAGAACGTGCCACTGAGATAGATCGCTAACCATACAAACTTTTTGCTATTTAATAAAATTTTCACCCATGAATGAAATAAAATCTTTGATAAATTAAAGCCGTAATTTGACAAAATTGAGAAGCTGGATCTTTTAAGCCAAAGAATGATGACAAAATTGGGAAGCTGGATATTTTAAGCAAAAGAATAATCCATAAGGCTCCTCATATTTTGCTATCGTAAGAATATCTACCAAAACTTCTATAAATCAATCCCCTCTTAGTAAATCTGGTCTCCTACTTGGTTTTGTTGCCAGTTGGAGTTTTTCCAGCCTTTCCGTAAGGGTAAAGAGTTGCAATGTGAACGCTTGCATTACCTACACAAAATAATTTAACTAATCAAGAATACACAATACACTGAAATCTCAGATAGAATATACATATAGCTGAAAATATCGAAAAAAAAAAATATATATATATAAATCTGTTTTACCAGGATTTGCCAATTTTGCCTTTTTGTTGGAAACGGGAGAAGATGGCCTTTTCATGGGCTGCTGCTCCTTTAGTACAAGTAAAGAATCAACAGAAGTCTTGTTGTATATGTTTTAGATCATACATTATAAAAATAGTAAATTCCAGTAACTTTGGCTTTTCTTCATCACTGGAATCATTACTTACATTTATCAAATCGTCCGAGTCCTAGACACGATCCAACTTATGGAAATCACTGGGAAACAGGAAGATGGAAGTATTTGTAATGAATGATCTCGAGGAAGAAAACAAAGAGATTCAGGCAAATAACACAGTAAAACTCCTCGAGTAATGAGAATGGAGACATCTTCACTGTCAGATCCATCATCATCATCATCATCATCATCATCATCATCATCATCATCATCATCATCATCATCACTGCCATCAGAGTCAGAGGCGTCTTCTTTCTTAGTTCCAGTCTTAGCAGCAGTAGCCTTATCTTTTGTAGGCTTCACGTCCTCAACCTTGGGCTGGGGTTTACCTGTGAAGTTAACAAACCTAAACAGTAACTTCTCGTTTTGCATATCTGAAGAGTGAAAGAAACCGATGAGACTTAAAACTGGTGACAGAGAGAGAGATTGTTGACATACCACCATTTTCAAGAGCCTCAATTCGATTTTCCTATCATCAGATTCATCTGAAAAATCTTGCTCATCTAGATAAAAAGAATAATAAAAAAAGACTACAAAAATTGATATCCTTTATCTACAGGAATGCACATCCCAAAACAAGCCACCATTTGTTTCAAGAGAAATGAAAAACAGATATACAAAATTGCTTCACGCTTGCAACTATCAAAACTAACGCAAGTATGCAATAGACGACATTCAAATGCCACTCAAATACTGCAAAACATTAAATTCCCAAGCAAGTCCTTTTATTCACACTTGCAATAAGGACAGTGGTGTCTGCACATACAATTCTCTCAAAGTTAGCTCACATAATCACAATCAGCATGAATGAAACGGCCATATTTGAGTTGCATTCTTTCAAAAAAATACATTTTTAAACATTGATTTGACGTTATGTCAACTACACATTCTTCAATAAAATAATATTACGTGCAAATCCAAAACATTTTCTCATTTTTTAACCACACATTCTTCATCAACCTATACTATTCCAAAATACGTTCTTTTCAAAATAATGTGGCTCAAACACACATGTAATGATATTAACTGATATGTACCTTGAATTTGATCATCAGCAATACTACCAATAAAGTAGACGCTTCCACTTTTCCAGTCATGGGAGAGCTCAAACTTCCTCTCAATTACCAAGTCCAACATCATCTGAGGTCTGTCTTCTGCTGAAAGAGTTCCTATTACATACTCGTCTTCATCAAGCTTCATACGAATGGGAACGTGCTTGGCTCCTTTGATGTCTTTCACCTCTCCTAGTGCTGCCTAAAAATAATTCAACTTTTATAACTCGTAATACAAAAAGCCGCTGTACTACAAAAGAACCCCAAATTCAAACCTGTGAAATATGAATCAGTTTGCTAAACTCAGGTTGAACCTTGAGTGATTCTTCAGCTTTAACTTCAACTCCTGCATAGATCGCGCAAATTTAACATTCAGAGCAAGCAGGTCACAAGTAAAATGCAAATATAGATTTTACTTCATTGACAAACTATATCTTCTACCATTCTGATGAAGCCATGAATATGCCCCATTGGACTTTAAACTATAGGGAGATAAGTTTAATTATTTAATTCGCAGAGAAAAACATGAAATTAACAAAAAGCATATACTTATCAGGACCTGCAAAAAATCACTTAATATATGAACGACATGAAATCAATGAAGGAAGCAAAATTTAGCAGCCATGGAAACATTATTTAAATCAAATTATTCACAAGGTAATGTAGAAGAATAAATAACTTTCTGCCACAATTGAAAGGAGAGCATGTTTTGTGGGAAAAAATGGGTTTAGTGGCAGATTTTGGCATAAAATTTGAGTGGGACCCATTGGTTCAATTTGGAAGATTAAAGTTGATCCGTGTTCTCCTCCGTGAGAGCATTAAAATCATATATTTACTTGTCAAAATTGATGAATGAATGAATAAGAAATTAGAGCTCAAAGTTAACCATTGGAAGATGGTTTATGTGGAAAATATGATTTGTCCCACATAGGAAAATGAAGAAAGCATGAACCACTTTATATATGATTGCACTTTGGAAGGATGTAATTATGTGTAGCATAGAAACTCTCTACGTGAGCACGCAGGGGGTGCAAATCAAGGATCAAAATAGTACATCGAGCCTTAGACTTGTGAGCGAGAGCGACCTGCGTATATGAATGTCAGACCGAACGGAGCAAAAATTAGCCTCTTTGGAGTGTCCACGTTTTGCTATTTTTTGGCTTTCTTCAATTAAAACAGTCGAAACTCCAATATTCATTGTTGAGTTAACGACATAACTCATGGCTTCTGAAGTCTCCATTACAACCTATTTATTTCACAATCCTTTTCCATTACACGCACCAGAAAATACACGAAAATTCTGTTATTTTTGGTCTACTGCACAGTATTGTTTTGTTTGCATATATAGTTTCTGTCAAACGTCTAGGTGGAGATATTGTTCGAATACTAAGTCAGTTCGGCGAAAATACATGAAAATTTTGTCATTTTCTATCTACCGCACAATGTTGTTCTGTTTGCATATATAGTTTCTGTCAAACGTCTAGGTGGAGATATTGTTCGAATACTAAGTCTGTTCGTCGAAATAGTTTTTGCAGTGTTCAGATTCTACTGGTTTACCGTTGTATCTTGGAAAATGGACGCTCGAATTAAATCTCAAGTACTCACGGTGAGGAGACGAATCTGTTTTAATGAAATTGTGTTCGCATAGGCCTAGGGTTGAAAGTTCATCCGTTATTTATTTATTTCCTACGATTTTATCTTCACTGTTCGTATATTTCTGCAATTTATTCGTGTGCTTCATATAATTTGCAGTCTTATTATTTTGTCTTCATATTTATATTTTAAATAAAATCAAATTAAGTTCATTTTATTGAAATTAAATCTGCTATATTTTGCCTAATGCACTACATATACGGTATATGCAAGATCGGTATATGCAAATACGATAAACTGTTACATATACTGTAAGCTAGTGCAAATACGGCAAGCTATTGCAAATATGGTATGTTGTTGTAAATACGATAAGCTGTATATACGATAATCTGCATATACAGTAATTTATATATACGGTGTGCGTAAATACGGTATGTTGCATATACGGTATACACAAATCCAATATGTAAATTGCATATGCGGTATGAATGAATCCGATTTCATCCACTGCACTAATTTAATCCAACATGTTTGGTTGAGCATAAGAAAAGGTTTTTTTTCTTTTACTTTTAACTAAAAAAAATGTTGCAAGAACCCTTTTTTCTGTTCCTTTTTTTTTTTTTGCTTTTAAGGGGAAAAAAAATTACTTTGTTTGAACCTTCTTGTGCTTATAAGTAAAAGTTTTAAGCTTAGCCAAGCATGCTCTGGTTTATCTAAAAAATATAAGGTTAAAAGCAATAGATTCTTGAGTGTAAGGCAAATGTCACACAATATTAAATCGAGAAAAAAGAAATTGAAATCGGCCAAAAGTAAACTGTGTAGAAAATTAAAGAATCAATACGAGATTTCTTTCGGCCTAAGCCCTGGAGGTTCGGCGACCACATCTAATGCCTGCATCCCCCGTTAAGCATCCAACAAGTTGGATTACGCTCGGTTGCACTATAATAGCCAAAAATGGCAACGAAGGGTTACAAATGTTCAAAAATACACTGAGATGAAGCAAATATACTTATCTCTCCAGATCGACTCAACACCTTCGAAGAATCACAAAGAAACTTCACTGCATCCCTCTCAAAACATCACAACTCAAGAAGACACAAAATATTACAGATAATCACTCAGAATATCTAAACAAAATAACTAAGACTTTCACGTTTAAGGCCTCAAATTAGAGATTTGAGCCACAGAATCGAGGAGAACAAACCCTAACCAGACGAGGGGTTTTTTCTCTCTCACTCAAGGACCAAGAGTTAAGACGCGTAATGGAGTAATGGGTGTGCCAAGTGAAACGGCATGTTAATAGTGGAAGGTTCCGGACTCAATCCAACAGCCATGGTTTAGCCACGAGTCTCCATCCAGTTGAAAGTGTCAATTTAATAGAGTTGCATTTTCACAAAACACGACTACTCAATATCATAAAATTCTGGAAGCATACAACTATGGTTCGAGTCTTCTCACATTCTCCACCTTGCTACCAGAATTTTTGAAACTATAGTGCAGCCAGGAGCAAATCCTTAACTCATCTTCATTTGCTCTATGTACTTGTACAAAAAAAAATTACAAAGTATTAACAGATAAAAGTTTCAAACAGTTTAAGAATTTGTTTAATGGGATTACTTTTGTACCCATATCTGATGGATTAAATTGAGTAGAAACTTTATTAATCTTAATTTTACCTTTTGAAATTATATCTCTTATAAAATGATACTTAACATCAATATGTTTTGATCTGTCATGAAACATGGGATTTTTGCTGAGGTGAATGACACTCTGATTATCAGAGAATAGCACTGTGAGATTATCATTAAAACCCATTTCTATCAGTAAACCATTTAACCAAATCCCCTCCTTAACAGCATAAGTTGCTGCTATGTATTTTACCTCAGTAGAGGACAGAGCTATTATTTTCTGAAATTAAGACTTCTAACTAATGGCAGTACCACATAGTGTATAAAAATAGGATGAGGTTGACTTTCTATTATCTCTATTTCCAGCAAAGTCAGAGTCAGTATAGCCTTTCAAACATATCTCATTTTTATCCGATTTAAACACTAATCCTAAGTTTGATGATCCCTTTAGGTATCTCAATAACCATTTCAAAGCATGTCGATGTTCTTCATCAGGATTACTCATGAATCTACTTAAAATGCTAATACTATATGCAAGATCAGGTCTGATGCATATCATCAAGTATATTATAGAACCAATTATATTAGCATATGGAATTTTTGACATTCTAGCATATTCTTCTTCGGATTTGGGACAAAATTCAGAAGACAGTTTAAAATGATTTGCAAAAGGAAGTGTCACAGGCTTACAATGAAACATATTAAATTTTTTCAAAATTTTTGACACATAATCACATTGATTTAGAAACAATATATTTTTATCTTTGTTCCTCCATATCTGCATGTCTAATATTCTTTTTGCATCACCTAGGTCTTTCATATCAAATTCTGATTTTAACTTTGATTTGATATTATCAATTTCTGATTTGTCTGAGCTAGCTAACAGCATTTCATCCACATAAAGGACCAGATATAATGAGTTTTCAACTCCATTACCTTTGCAGTACAAACAAGTGTCATATTGGCTTCTTCTGAAACCAAGTTTTAGGACAAAAGTGTCAAATCTCTTATACCATTGCCTAGGTGCTTGTTTTAGGTCATACAAAGATTTCTTTAGCAAACAAACAGTATTTTCAGGATCACCCTTTTCAAAACCAATAGGTTATTTCATATATATAGTTTCATCCAATTCTCCATACAAGAAAGTAGTCTTAACATCAAGTTGATCAAGTTCCCATTTAAATTGAGTAACAATAGCAAGCAAGCATCTAATGGTGACATACTTAGCAACGGGAGAAAAAATTTCAGTGTAATCCACACCCTCCTTTTGTGTGAAACCCTTTGCTACAAGTCTGGATTTATATCTAACATTTTTACTTTCACCTTCCCCTGATTTTATTTTATAAATCCACTTGCAGTTAATCAATTTTTGACCTTTGGGTTTGTCAACTAAAATCCATGTTTTATTTTTAAGTAATGAAGACATCTCATCTTCCATTGCCAGTTTCCAATTTTTGCTTTCTTTACATTTAATTGCTTCTTCAAAGGAATTTGGCTCATTTTCAGACATATCTTGGTAAGAAAATAAAGAAACATAGGTGTCTGTATCAAATCTGGTAGAGGGTCTGATTTGCCTCCTCTCCCTATCTCTTGTGAGTTGATACTCATCAAGGGGAAGAACTGCAGAATCAGTCTCTTCAGTTTGATCAATTTCAGTTTCTGGTTCTGTAACATGTTCTTCATTTTCATTATCCTCTATAGTAGATCCAGAGGCATTCTCATTACTACAGGGTGACTCCACCTCAATTTGAACATTTTTTTCAGTTAAATTTTTCTCTTTTCCTTCAAGACATGGCATCAGTGGCTCATTAAAGATAACATCATTTTCTTATTATTATCCTATAACCATTCTCTGATTTAACCCATAGTCTGTACCCTTTTACATTTTCATCATAACCCAATAATACACACTTTAATGATTTTGATTCTAATTTACCAATATTTTGATGAGCATAAGCAGCACAGCCAAATACTTTCAGATAAGTGTAATTTATAGGTCTATTTGACCACACAGATTCAGGAACAACAGAGTTTAAAGCACTAGATGGACTCTTATTAATCAAGTAGGTAGCAATTTTAACTGCTTCATCCCAAAACATCTTAGGAAGACCAGAACTTAAAAGCATACATCTAACTTTGTTCAATAGGGTTCTATTCATTCTTTCAGCCATTCCATTTTGCTGTGGTGTGTGAGGAACAGTTTTGTGTCTTATGATGTCATATTCTTTACAAAGATTGTCAAATTCATAATTGCAAAATTTCAAACCATTATCAGTTCTCAAATATTTTATTTTAAAATCAGTCTGATTTTCAACTTGAGTTTTCCAGTCCTTGAAAACAGAAAATGTCTCATCTTTTGATTTCAGTACGTGTACCCAGACTTTTCTTGAAAAGTCATCAATTATAAGCAAAAAATACTTGAAACCAGTCAATGTAGAGACAGAGGCAGGACCTCACAAATCAGCACGTAAATACTCAAGTCTTTGTTTGGATTTATAAATTCCAGTTGGAAAAGGAAGTTTAACTTGTTTTCCAAAAATACAATGTTCACAAGTACCAAAATCACCAAGATTATGATTTCCAAATACACCTTTTGAATGTAAGAGATTTAATCCCTTTTTACCAATATGACCAAGTCTCTGATGCCACAATTTAGCCAAAGTAAAGTTTTCAGACATGACAAAGGCAGTTAATCCAATTAAGGGTTTAGCATTTAAGCAGTAGAGACCATGTTTCTTAGGGGCTGAAGTGACCAAGTCATTTCCCTTAAGAATTTTTATATGTCCGTGACCCATGATTATGTTAAACTTCTTATCATCTAACATTCCTAGGGACACTAAGTTCCTTTTCAAATCACAGACATGTCTTGTGTTCTCAAGGACCAAAACATTACCATTTTCTAATAACAATTTGATAGTCCCAATTCCAATCACTTTGGAGGCAAAGTTATTGCCCGTTATAACCTGCCTCCCTTTAGTTTTCTCAAGATTTATAAAACAATTTTTGTTGGGGCACATGTGAAAGAAACAGCCTGAGTCAAGTATTCATTTATCACTTTGACATTTTTCAGTACTTACCAAAATAAAATCATTTTCAGTTTTAGTTTTATCATAGGCTAAGGCATTGCTTCCATCAAGACCTTTTTCTTTTGAATCATTTTTTCTTTTGAAACAATCCTTTGCAAAATAACCAAGTTTGCCACAATAATAACATTTTTTACCTTTTGCATTATTCTTGGTCTTATTCCCGTCAGTACAATTTTTGTTAGTTTTTGAAAACTTAAAGTTTTGAGTAGGTTTTTTAAAGGTTTTTCCTTTTGTTAAAAAACTAGTACCAGTGTGACTGATACCTAACTTAGCCTTGATCTCTAATGCTTTATTCTTTAAAGCATTAGTTATAACATCAAGTGTAAGTTCATCTCTTCCATATTCAAGTGCAACTTTAATGTCTTTATACTTATCACTTATGGAGTTTAACAGGACTACAGCCAATTGATCTTTTAAAAGTTTTTCATCACAATTGGTCAAGTCTTGGGTAAGTTTTGTGAATCTACTCAAATTTTCTTCTAAGTTAATTACAGGATTCATTTTGAAAGAAAAGAATTGCTTTAAGAGGAAACACTTATTTGAAGTAGTTTTAGTTTCATATTTTGCCTTGAGTTTTTCCTAAAGATCAGAGGCAATGGTGGTTTCACCCACTTCTCTGATCACATTATCAGATAGGTATAAGAATATAGTGCTCCAGGCAATTTTCTCAAGTTTAGATTTCTTATTAGGTGCTAAACCCTCCGTCCATGAACCATCTAATGTTTTAGCACATTTCATTTGCATCAAAATGGCTTTCATTTTCTGACTCCACATATCAAAATCAATTTTACCATCAAATTGACTCACTTCAAATTTTGCAGTAGCCATAATGCATGCAAGTTATTACAAACAAGATTTAGCAAGAATTTAGAACAGTTGAAATAGAAACCCTAAGTTGCCAACTTTGAAATCATAGTAAATCACAAAGTAATATAGGATTTCAGTAATCAAAAAATATCAACAGAGAAAGTAGTCTTTATCAATCAACAGAAAGCAATTAATGAGATCAGATTATAAGGTTTCACAGATCCCTCCAGTAAGATTCTCCAAAGTTACACACCCGTACTTGATTTATCTCAGATTCCAGTGGCCTCACAGGAGCCACTGGACAAAGATTAGTCTCAAGGGGATTTCAACGGTGTACTGAAAAATTCGAGAAAGCTCAAGAAACTCAAAATTTTCAGGTGTAATATACAGTAAATTGAAAAGATCTCACCCAGCGAGTTTAATAACTCAAGGCAGTTCAAATCTGCTTTTCAGTAGTTCCAAAAATTCAAGATCTATCGAAGATCCACCTTTCTCTCCAAGATCCGGGTATCGTGCTCCTCAGTAAGGCTCTGATACCACTTTAAGGCAAATGTCACACAATATTAAATCGAAAAGCAAGAAATTGAAATCGGCCAAAAGTAAACTGTGCAGAAAATTAAAGAATCAACACAAGATTTCTTTCGGCCTAAGTTCCGGAGGTTCGGCGACCACATCTAATGCCTACATCCGCCGTTGAGCATCCAACAAGTTGGATTATACTCGATTGCACTATAATAGCCAAAAATGGCAACGAAGGATTACAAATGTTCAACAAATACACTGAAATGAAGCAAAGATACATATCTCTCCAGATCGACTCAACACATTCGAAGAATCACAAAGAAATTTCACTGCATCCCTCTCAAAACATCACAACTTAAGAGGACACAAAACATTACAGATAATCACTCAGAATATCTAAACAAAATCACTAAGACTTTCACGTTTAAGGCCTCAAATAAGAGATTTGAGCCATAGAATCGAGAGAACAAACCCTAACCAGATGAGGGGTTTTTTCTCTCTCACTCAAAGACCAAGAGTCAAGACGCGTAATGGAGTGATGGGTGTGCCAAGTGAAACGGCACGTTAATAATGGAAGGTTCCATATTCAATCCAACAGCCATGGTTTAGCCACATGTCTCCATCCAATTGAAAGTGTCAATTTAATAAAGTTGCATTTTCACAAAACACGACTTCTCAATATCATAAAATTCTGGAAGCATACAACTATGGTTTGAGTCTTCTCACATTGAGGAATTGAACTCAAAAACAGAACTAAAATACACTCAGCAGAACAGTTTAACGACCAATAAAAGATCATGTAACCCCACTTGTATTATCAAACACAGATAAATACTGAAAAAAAAAACAAATTCACAGTTCACAGCCAATAAAGAATCACATACCATAGTTTATAATGGTAAACAAACATAAATGTTTATACGCATTGAAACAGATTGGAGTAATAATTGTGGAGCTGAGAAACGAAAGTTACCCCAAAATTCCATATTGAAGCGGAAGACTTAACGGATTTGTGTGGGTTTCCTAGGAAGGTTGAGGGTTTTATAGAGGTTTAACGAGGGAAGGAAATTTGCAAACCGGACCGACCTAGGTTTTGTTCGAGATTTGATTCTTATTTTTTTCTAGCTATACGTACCTGTGTCTGAAAATGTATGTATATCTCATAATTCTGACAATGTACGTCTTTTTTGAAAATGTATTTTTTCCTCATGGTATATCTCTATTACGACATCTCATTTTGGGATGGACAAAAATTTCGGATCGAATTGAATAGTTCAGCTCGATTTTTCTTTCAGTTAAAATAGGTAATTGGGCAGGAGATCAATTCTATTGTTCTCAAATAGTGCATAAATTATGCAAATATAGAAGCTATGTAAATACTCGAGTTGACTGGTTAATGCACTAGAATTGTTCTAGTAAAAAGAGTAAAATAAATTATTGTATTAATTAATAGAAATTACAATCATTCATCTAGCGCTAAATGAACACTTGAGTTGATTGGGCACGTTTCTCAAGTGTCGAGTTACCCAAGTCAAATATCACTTGGGTTCAAGCATCACATAGGTGCATAACGTACCATTCAGATGGACTCATTATTAGATTATCCTTACTAATTAGAAGTACAGATAAGTTTGTCAAGGCCACCGCCTAAGGGCCAATCCCATTCTCACCAACCTCGAATGGTGCTTAAGTGTGCAACCCAGTCTAAAGGTTCATCTCATTATGTCTCGATGGTCGAAATAGGTAGATAGTAATCCCATACTTGTCCTGGCACTCCAATTCATGGTTGAAGGAACAAAGGGTGGATCCAATTCCTTAAAGTGATCTCAAGCCACGTGTTCTGTGACAACCATCATGGCACAATACGGTTCTCTTAGGATGTTCCCCAAAGAGGTAAATCTTTTACCATTGTACTTCATCACAGACAATTAGAAAAACGTGGAGATAAACTAACATTCCTAAGACAGTTAAGTGAGGGAACTACTTTCAAATACACAATAACAACTACAAAAGGTACAGAATCAAATAGATGACGACTATGATACGATTGACCCACCAACAATAAGACAAATCATTTAGTATAAGATCAGAAAAACCTAACTCGAATCTCCCACAAATATCCTAGACTTGCACAAACCAAAGGTATATAAATCTAAATTTTCAAAATCCAGTGCTGACTGGATAATTGGGATGACGAGTCTTCAAGAAAATGTCACGTGGACAGAGTTAGTTGTTAGTCTTCGACTCACGTGGCCACTTGTGGAGATGAAAAGATCGCTTAGGGGTCGTTCGTCTACGATGACAATGGAATAGTCCTGAATATGGACAATGCCACTTGATGGAGGAGAAGATGACAGCCAACACTCTGTACGTTTGGCAACAAAATGGTATAATAAAATGAAATTTCAAGAAAATGTCTTGCTACATCTACATTGGATTATGCATGTTTGGAACTTTGAGTTGCGTATTTAAATGCTAATACCCAATGCTAGAGAATTTGCTTATTGGCACTTATTACCATATGTATTTGATTATTCAATATTCATTGTACATTATTTAACTTAAACTGATGAGCCACTATTAAAGAATTTGAAACGTGTGTTTTTTTACAATCATGTGACAAGTATAAAAAAATTTGAAAGAAAACTTTGACAGACAACATATGGTGGGAATTGATTAGAAGATGGAAAGAGAAAAATGAAATCAATCTAATCATTTGTGGTCTTGTCGACATTGATGGGAATTCTGTCGAAAATTTCTGTACTCGTAACTTTTTCCTTTTTTTAACTGTTCAAATAGGGCGGCAAGAAATGGAATAATATTGGTGGGTGACCCACATGCATTATTGGCTAAGAAAATGACTATTCCTAGTGCACAAAACATTTAATAACAAGACATACTCTACTGCATAACTGAAAGAACAATTCTGCTTGTATTGGATTGTTCTTATAGAAGAAAATCAGAAGTCTCACAAAGAATCGGCTTTACAGCGAGACTCGATGTAATAAAAAATGATAAAATTTTTTTTGACCCCATCCATGTGTGAGACCTCTGTAAGAGGTCTGTGAGTTGGGGTTCTGTACACCCAGCTCAACTCTAACTAAAATGTCAATTAAAACGTTCTGTCACTCCAAAAGAAATGTCTCCTTTGTAGACAAAATCACTTTGTATTACTATTTAAATAATATTTATATATCAAGATCTTAATAAAATAGTGAGTCTCAATTATTTAATACACATCAGTTAAAAAATGATTGAGAGTGCGGAATACTCCATACTCCCATATTCTGGGAGTACT